CCTTCTATTTAGAACCTTTGCTCTCTTTAAGTCCATGTATAACATCTGACAAAGTAATCTGTTGCTTATGAAAGCTTATGCCTCTCTGAACAAGTTAGTTTTTAAGGGTGAAGTTAAACATTACACTTAGACTATACTAAGGGCACTTAAATCACAAGGTCCACGCATTAAAACTTGTCAACTCATGCTAAGTCCCCTCTGAGCATCTCAAGGATATGCCACTTCAGGTGCTACCTAGCTTGTGTTAGGGTAACTTTAGTCCGCTCCACAAAAATAAAATGAGCAATTTGCAGCCCTTCAGCATCCCAAGCTGCATGACTCCCAGTCCCCTTTCCTCCCCAGAGTACGAATGGAACCTAGATGTCCTGGCTTCTAGTCATGCCCCTGCTAACCAGCCCTCTAGTATGAAGTCAGACTTGTGCAAGCAACAAACACCAATCTTTAACTTGTGACTACTTACAGCAAGTTCTAACTTTGGGTGGTGTTACAAGTAACTCTTAAACCATTCTTAAGGCACTTAAAATGGGACAGTCCATGCAACACCCATGCATGAAAGGGTGTTAAATTGTGTTAAGTACCCTCTAAGCATCTTTAAAGTTACACCACTTTGGACAAGGGTTATCTTTGAGCCATTCTACCTAGCTCAAGATCGGGTGTTGTTAGTCTGCTCCATGGAGATTATGGAGTCATCCAGCATCCCAAAATGCATGGCTCCTAGCCCCTCTGCCCCTTGTGAACTTTCCACCCTCCCAAGTTATACTGTATGGGCATGATACTGGCCCCAAGCCAGCACCTGCATCCACCCTCAGTGGGTATGACTCCAGCCTACATGGCACCACACTGTCAACTCCAAGGACCCCAGGAGACCTAACCTGGGTCCCTGGGCTGAGGACTAGGCATGCAGCCCTCCTAGCCAGGAGAATTTGCAAATTGTGGCTTCCCTCCCCACCCTCCCATGTTCCTTGCTCCTGAAGAGTAGGGGGAAAGGGCTGCCTAGTGCCATGTGTGGCAAAATGTTCTTTCTTGGGTCCATGCTGTCACTATGGTTAACTTCCAGTGGCTCTGCACTAGGAGCAGAGCCAGCAGGTGGTGAGAGCATGGAGCTCAGGAAGGCATGCTTCCTGGGATCCAGACTTTAGCTGCACTCAATTCTCAAGGCTGTGCTCCCAAAGGAGGGATAGAATAATGGCTCTTGGCTATGTCCTTGCTTGCTAGACCCTCTAGGCAAGTCACGGTTGTGCAGGTCAGAAACAGTATTAAGCCTTAACCTGCAACTGCTCTGAAGCGGTTTTACCTGTAACACCACCTAACGTTCCATGGATTTAGAGTAGTTTAAAGGTAACCTGTAACAGCACAGTTTAACACGGCTTAACAGGCATAGATTTCATGTGGAAAATGGAACTTCTGTCTTAACAGTGTGTCCTGTAACAAAAATTGCTTTTCAAAGAGAAAACTAAATACTGCCACTGAAATATTTTGTAGAGCTCTGAATACATAAGAGCAGGTTTTCAAAAGACCATGGATACTATTTTGGCACTTCTAAATAAGCAGTCCGAAATTCAAAGGAATTCAGCACTGGCTGGTGATATCATCTAAAAATCTGAGTGTGGTTACTAATAAGTTGTTTTTTCTGTGCATTTATGGACCAATACTTGATAAAATCAAAGAGTTTCAAAATGGCTGAGCTGTGCAAGTCTAACACCATACTAATACCCCTTACTGAAGCATACTGGATTCCAAATCTGGGTTTTTGGGTAACTTAAACACTTCTAAACTTTTCTTCATTTAACACTTGTTGGTCTTAAAATCTTTATAATCAAAGCCAATTTTTCCCTTACACTTGTTGATTTGCTTGAAGTGTAATTGATAGTATTTTTTCTAAGGAAATAAGTTGTCCTAGTATAAAGAATGGCAGTTTGTATAATTATGTCTACTTGAAACTAGAATATTTAGACCTGCATCTCTGAAAAAAAAGAAGTGACAAGCTGGGTAAGTTTATTTCTTCACACTTGTTAAAAGGGTAAGCTGATCTTCCTATCCTTTTTCTTTTTCACTCTTCTCTTATTGCTAAACAAATTGAAGTAACACCTTCCTAGAAGAAAGTATCTTAAAATGGAACAGTTCAAACTAGCCCTCAATTTATCCAATGCTTAGATTAGAAACTAGAAGAATCTGTAACATTAAAAATCCTAAATACAGACATTTAAGCAATTCAGTATCTTGGTGAATAATGTAGCATCAAGAGTTCTGCAAAAATTTTGCCAGAAGCCAATGGAGCAACAAGTACCTGTGATAATGAAAGTAGGGTAAAAATGCTAAACAGAATTATAAATGATAAAATTACAACCAATCACAGCTACTCTAAGGGTGGGAACATAGGAATGCTATGAGCCTATGCAAAAGAGGAATGTTTCAAAAGGGCATCAGCTGGTACATGCTTACTGTTAGGTGGGAAAGAACGGAGAACAATTGAAATCCAACACTACAGTTCCAACTTCTTTATCCAAGTTTAAAGTTGGAGCAGGGGTTTGCTGTGTTTGAATTGTTCTCAGCTTTTTCACACATCCTTTTGCCCAAGCAATTTCAGGGAAACCTTTTACTTTATTTTAAAAAGAAAAGGAACTTTAGAAAGGAGAGTAGAAATCACTTATCACATGGTTTCATATTCTACAATATTTGCTTACTCCTGGTAGGAAATATATGGGATATAAAATACCTAGTGTTGCAGTCCACTTGAGCATGTTGAATTAACCTGAGAGAACGAAAATTTTAGGCTAAGGTGCATTAAGGCAGTGGTGTCTAACCTTCTGGCCTCATGGGTGGGATGAGTAGTGCAGTCAGTCTGTGGACCAGATCCTGCATCAGGTCAGTTTATCAATGTGATCCAGCATGCCAGTCCAAGCCCAGCTACCTGGATCTGGCTATGTCCTGACCCAACCCCATACTCCCGGATCTAGCCACACAGAAAGCTATATTTTTTTGGCCCGTGGGGCTCCCTGCTGGTGCAGAAATTTGGCAGTAGGTGAGAGACAAATGACACTGCCACTGCTCCCTGGCCACAAAATTTGGATCCTTGGGAAGCCCCACAGGCCAGATGCCATGGCATCATGGGATAGGGGTTGAACACTGCTGCATTAAAGGCATTATTGACACCTTTGTCTTTCCTCTTTCTGTAACTGTAGTTTGTTTTGCCCGGTTTTGTTTTTTTACGTCAGGGCTAATTTGACTGAGGAATACAAGAAAGGCTGGAGTGGATGTTCTTAGAGACCCTTTTGGACAAATGGTAGCCTGTGAAAGCAGGGCTGAACTTGATCGTCTGAATAAGTTCCTTCTGGTCCTACGTTCTTGTTACATCTATCTAAGGATCATAAAAAACGAATGCTGTAGATCAGAGTTTCGCAAACTTTTTCCTATTGCATACTCCCTTCCAGATTTACCAGTTGCCCTTGTACCCCTACCAGCATGTTATTTTAACCCCTTAAATGCCAATTACTGTTGTTATAATGAAAATTAAACCCACCATTACACAATTTCCCAGACATGTCTTGTGTACCCCCAGGAGTATGTATACCACAGTTTGGGAACCCCTACTGTAAATTAAGAGTTATTCAAATCATTCCTAGTAACTTTCAGCAACAGCTAAGTCAAATGTGTAGTTTATTACAGTTTGTCCATAAAGAATATTAGGTGCGTACATGGAATTAGGCTGAATCGTAAAGAGAATCAGGTTGTATTCTTAGTTGACTGATTCAGCCTCATGGCGAATAAGGTGGTGGCAAGGGTTCTGCAGAAATTTTGTCATAAGCTGGTGGAGCATCAGGTACCTGTGATAATGACAGGGTGAAAGTGCTAAACAGAATGAATGAATTGATTTATAGGCAAACCACATTAAATATGACACACAATGATCTTTTAGCCAGCTTCCTCATCTGCTTACAGGATTTCATATCATAAGTACTACTATAGATATAAAACAGCAGAATTTTCTTGATTGTGACTTTAAAGGGGATGGAGAAGGAAAGGAAGTTTAGTCTTGCCCAGCATGCATTCTGATTTTGTGACAGATGGGGTTTACTTTGCCCAACCCACTGCAATTCAGAAGTAACGTTCAGTACTGGAAGAAATAGACAATTTTAATGAAAATATTTTATGTTTATATTTTATGTTTATTATATATATTTATATTTTCAGGTTGTTTGCAATAAAATAATTTGATCTTGCTACATGTAAGGCCCTAATGTATTGTGTATTGACTGTATGTTGTTACATGATCATTCTTTACCCTTTTTCTCAACATTTTTAAATCCTGTAATTTAATATGGTATACTTAACCATTCATATTAACTTGGACTGATTTTATCATTCATGCCTTGTAGTGACTCCAGAAGCTAAATACCTGAGTTCATGCTGTTGTAAATAGCTTACATGTGGATTTTGGTGTTTGAAGCACCTAAAAAACACACTCTGTCACATCATAGATCCACTTGATAGTCATAAAAATACTAGACTAGTTCAGAGGAAGGACCTGATTGTGACATGTAACTATAATTGTGCAGTTAATAGATCACAAAGGAATGATCATGCAACAACTAAATTAAAATTGGAAACTGGTTGAGGAGGAAAAAAGTATTTTTTTTTTAAAAAAGACAATCTCTTACTCATAGATTTCACAAATCACTTTCTCTTTTAGAATTACACAAGAAGCTACTCCTCTTAATAAATCACACCAGGGTGGGAAAGATTCAACCTGTGTAATCCAAACCTGGTGAAGAAGCCATCACCAGAAAGGAAGAGTGCTGTATCAGTTGTTTATAATAGATCTCATTGGCTCAGGGTCATGTTACTAATTATTGTAGGAAAAGAAACCTTGGATTTTAACTTACCACAGAGTTAAAGTTGCTATACTGTTGTAAGGGCCCTTTGGAATCCAGCAGGGCATGTCCACTTGCAGAGGTTCTTAAAATGCTAACACCAGAGCTTTTACTCTGAAAGCCAGTGAAAAGAGATGGAGGAGTGAGAGAACTAGACACCTTGAGTACATGCATTAATGAAATACTTAGTGTGTGGAGGTCAATTTATAATGCTTGCAAGAATGTGGGACTAAAGTCAAAGATAATGCCAGCAGGAACTGTGAAAGCTGCTTGATCTCTGCTAAGGGAAGTACACTTTCACAGAAACCCGATCATGAACTATGCAAAACTGGAAAACATGTTGTTTCAACTTC